TTTTTTTTTTTTCTGAGACAAGGTCTCATTCTGTCTCCCAGGCTAAAGTGCTGTAGCATCATAGCTCACAGCAACCTCAAACTCCTGGGCTCAAGTGATCCTCCTGCCTAGCACTCAAGTAGCTGGGACTACAGGTATGCACCACTAGACCTACCTTACTATTTTTTTGTAGAGACGGGTCTCACAATGTTGCTCAGGCTGGCATTTTGACCATTTTTAAGTTTATAGTTCAGTGGCATTAAGTACATCCTATGCATGTCTTTATATTTTTAAGTATACATACATAAAACAATATAACTAGTGATCTACATGACTTTGAACTTCAAAAAATGATAACATATTGACATATTCTTTTGCATTTTTCTTTTTTCTTTTTTTGAGACAAAGTCTCACTTTGTCACTCTCGAGAGAGTGCCATGGCATCACAGCTCACAGCAAGCTCAAATTCTTGGGCTCAAGCAATTCTCTTGTCTCAGTCTTCCAACTAGCTGGGACTACAGGTGCCCGCCACAATGCCCAGCTACTTTTTAGAGATGAGGTCTCGCTCTAACTCAGGCTAGTCTCAAACTTGTGAACTCAGGTGGTCGACCCACCTTGGCTTCCCAGGGTGCTAGGATTATAGGCATGATCCACCATGTCTGGCCCATCTTACTTTTTTCTATACAACACCAAGTTCTGATAGTTTTTGAAATTATCAAAGTAACGTATGCTCATTATAAAAAAATAGACTAGAATAAAAGCATTACTATGAAGCCCTTCTGTTCATTCCCTTCTCCCAGAATTCAATCTTTCTCCCAGGTGACATACTCCAGCAAAACCTTTCAGGCTTGGCTTGGCACCTGTGGCTCAAGTGGCTAAGGCGCCAGCCACATACATCTAAGGTGGCTGGTTCAAATCCAACCAGGGCCTGCCAAACAACAATGATGGCTACAACCAAAAAAAATAGCCAGGTTGTGGTGGGTGCCTGTGGTCCCAGCTACTTGGGAGGTGGAAGCAGGAGACTCACTTGAGCCCAGGAGTTGGAGGTCACTGTGAGCTGTGATGCCACAGCACTCTACCCAGGGGGACAGCTTGAAGCTCTGTCTCAAAAAAATAAAAAACCTTTCAGACTCTTCTACACATGTCACAACATACATATACACACACTTTTTGGCAAATGGATTGTTGTGCAAATTGCTTTTTTCACTTGATATAACTTGGGTGTTTTTCATTTCATATAACACTTCTGTGATGTAAAATGATTTACATGATTTTTAATGGTTGCAAAGAATTGAAAGAGCTTTAAAATGCTGTCTGTCATATGTATTTCTTTCTTTTTTTTTTTTTGTCACCCCCAATAGAGTGCTGTAGTGTCATAGCTCACAGCAACCTCTGACTCTTGGGCTCAAGCAATTCTCTTGCCTCAGCCTCCCAAGTAGCTGGAAGACTGGCTACTTTTAGACATAGGGTCTCGCTCTTGCTCGGGCTGGTCTCAAACCTGTGAACTAAGGCAATCCACCCACCTCAGCCTCCCAGAATGCTAGGATTACAGGTATGAGTGACCACACCCGGCCTGCCATAAGTCTTTCTTTGCATTTTTCACCTGGTCCCACCCTACCTTTGTCTCCTGTTTTGGTGTAGATCTTTGGGCTCTTGGGTGTCTTCACGGAAGGCTGTAGCCTAATGAGAAACAGACATCAAGTGGTGGTGAGTTTCCCTGGCTTCCACAGAGGGGCACCTCCTTCAGTGGGTCTCAGCCTGCTGCTATAAGCTCAGAGGCAGGATTTACCCCTAACTTCTTGGACAGTAATCTCTCTTTTTTTTTTTTTGTCCACTGAGGCATTTTATTTTTAAGCATATATTACATCTCTAGAAAAAGAATCCTAGGATTTTCCTTCCTGTGTGTTTTCTTCTTGCTTCTTCCTGGTCCAATGTCAGCTGAAGTTGTCAGTACAATGAAACCAAACTGGCAGGATAGGAGAAGATGATTCTGCCATTTTTCTGGATCTTTGAGTTGCACATCAAATCTGGGGCTGATCACTCCACACTTGTTTAACCTGTCTGTAAGGTTCACAATAATTTTCCTGCCTCTGTAAGCACTGAAGATTTCAAATTCACAATGTAATCATGCCTTAAGATTCACAGTTAGAAACTGGACAATGATTTTGGAGCACTGCCTCATAAGAACCTGGTGTTTGCCTCTCTTTTTGGCGTTGTTGATGCTCTTAACAGAATCAGCCAGGACGTTCATGAGTATCGTTATAGTAGTATAGAAAGATGGCGGGAAGAGAACAGTAATCTCTTGTTGACATCTTTCCCCTCCATGCTTTCTAGTTGCAAGCCCTTTGAGGGCAGCCTTTGTGTCTTGCCCACACCTATATCTACAGAGCAACTAAGACACTGCACTGTGCAATGTTGATCCTCAATATTTGCTAAAAGTACTGATCACATACTGTAGTCCCTGCACTATGCTAAGGAGATTACAAGCATTATCTCCTGGAATTACGCCTGGAATTTTTCCACACTCCCAAAGGTAAATACTACCTATGACCTTTCTTTTACTGTTGAGGAAAATGTAGTTCACAGAGACTCACTTTCCCAGGTCATCCAGGAAGGAAGAAGCAGGGCTGAGATTCCCACCTGAGACTGTGTGAGAGCACAAAGTGTAACTTCTATCCTACCCAAAACTTTATCCTCTACTAAGCCAAGTCAGGTCCTTTGGGAAGAAAAGAAACCTGGGCCTCCTGCATTCTATGACACTTTATGCATATGCAGAAATAAAGAACTGCCAAATCAAGGTTCAGAAACTAGCATTTTCATGTAACAGCATAACAAATACTGTTTAGAACTGAACATTAAAAAGTGACATTACACGGTTATTCAACAGGAAAATCACTAGATTTACGACCTGCATAAACCCATTAATCTATGGTATTTCTATGGGTTCTGAGGTCTGGGTTGGAGAGCAAGTTTTAAGGTGTATTTGGAAAGCCATCTTCAGATCGTGTTGGTGTATCTGTGTGTCTTGGAGTACAAAATGCTTCAGCGATGGGTCTAAATCCCAGTCGAGAACCCTTCTGGCCCACATGGGAATTGCCCCACCATGTCCCAGGATAGCTGGGTTTCCTTCCAACTAGCCCAAGGAGTTCCTGGTCTCCGGGGCACACGCGGCTCACGTTGTCATGATGACGTCAGGACAGCCAGGGGACGTGACGTAGCGGTTGCCGCGGTGACCTCATGACCATTTGACGTACCCATGGCGACTACACCGCGATTCACGGTAGGTATTTGAGTTACCCTCCCAGCCAGACACTCACCTGTCCCCGTCTTCCACGCCCTGAGGGCCGAGGTTCTGGAAACGGGGATGCAGGAGGCTGCCGGCGCCGAAGCACCCACGCAGGCCTAGGCGGCCTCTCAGTCCCCACACAGCCATGAGCCAGGCCGCTTGAAAAGGGGTGACTCCACCAGGTTCCCGTCCAGGCCCCCGGGTGACTCCACCCACAGCCGGCCGCGCCACCGCTCAGCCGCCATTTTTAATTGGTCCGTAACTCTCGACCCAGGGCGGGAACCTCCCATGTACTTGTTTCCCATTGGTTTATAGAAGGAGTAGGGCGGGAGACCTGGGGCGGGTTGGCTACACCACCTATTGGCCAACATTCAAGCCAATTGGTGAAGGGACTCCCAGATCACGCGCTTTCATTGGGTGGGCGAAAGAGGCCACCTCCCCTGGCGAGGGCGCTCGGGGACTCAGGAGTAGAGAAGCTGCTTGGGCTCAGGCGAAGAGGAGCTGCGGCGGTGACAGGTGAGAAGCCAGGGGCGAGGGACTAGTGGGCTCTAGGTACGAGATCCAGGACGACCCTAAGCCAGGCGACCAGTTTCTCTGGTTCAGTTTCCCCAACTTTGGGAATCCGTCCTGGGAATCCGATGTTGATTCCGGCAACATCGAATCTGACAGATGTGATTTCGAACTTTCGGACCAGCAAGAGAGGCTTCTCCCCTCCTAGCCTGTTTCTCTCCCTAGGAAATGGGGCTCACGACAGTAGTTGGCTCATCCTGCGAATGAGGTCTTAGTATAAGAGGGCAATTTTGCCTAATTTATAAAAATGTAAAATGCATATATCCATAGATCCTGCAAGCCACTTTCTAGAATTCTTGTCTTGCAGAAATCTTTGTTTAAGTGTGCAACACGAGGCATAACAGTTGTTTTCTGCAGCTTGTTTTATAATTGTCACACGTTGGAAACAGCCTAAATGTCCAGGAACGAGTTCTTTCGGGTCTATGATTTCATTTAAATTTCTGCCTTTAACAGAAGTAGTGGTGGTAAAAGCTAAAACCAAGAACAGAGCCAGTAGTAAGTAGCTACCAGTAAGTAATTGAGTGATTGCCATGTGCCAGACACTGCTGTTTCCCTTGCATTAATTTAACCTTCTTAACAACCCACTTGAGGTAGGTAACGTTATTGTGTCCCCATATAAGGTGGGGAAACTGAGGTTCATAGTCATTTAAGTGAGTTAGCTAAGATGACATCACTTGGGAGTGGAAGAGCTGGGATTTGAACCCAGATCTGTCTGATGTGTCCAGGTGATTGCTGCACTGTGCTGCCTTTCTGGTACATAGCAAATGCTGGAAAGTAATTGCCTTTGTTGTTATAATGATGGGCTTGAACTAGGCATTCCCTAAGATCATCAGCCTTCCTGTGGTTACCAAAAAATAAATCAACAAACCAAATAAGGCCTCTTCTACAGGTTCTAACATCTGGGGACCTTTGCTCTTCCGTTGGCTTTTCCTTTCAAGAGTTCCAGGAGCTATGTTGTCAGAAGTCTTGTTGGTGTCTGCTCCAGGGAAAGTCATCCTTCATGGAGAACATGCTGTGGTCCATGGCAAGGTAAAAAGCCTGCAGAGGCTTCAAAGATTGGGCACTACTTCTCCCTGATGCTAATCTTGCAAGGAGGTAAAAGGATTCCCTGAACCAGAGGGAGCAGATTGGAGAGCTGGTCATTTTCTCCTCAGCCAGGCAAGGAAAAGATAGGTCTTTTGTCCACTGAAGGGCTTCTCTGGCCTCACTCTGTATAATAGAGAAAAGATGATGTATAAAGCCCTGCAAGTGGAATAAGATCACCTGGGAAGGGAGCTTCGGTGTAGAAGTACAGAGATTTGAGAACTGAGTTCTGGAGCTCTCAGATGTTTGTGAGCTTAGAAGTTGGAAAGATTTTCTAGCAAAGGAGTCAGAACATGCATTATTTCATTTAACCCTTACACGTACCCTTTTTTTTTTTTTTAAAGGAAAAGAGGTTTATTTGGCTCATTGTTCTGTAGGCTTACACTTACCCTTTAAGGTGCATCCTTTTATTATCCTGTCTTACAGGTGTGGAAACTGAAGCTTAAGAGAGCCTTGGTAGAGCTCAAGAGTGAACCTAAATCTGTTTGAACCTAAAGCTCATACTTTTTCCAACCTCCACACTAACTGCCTAGTATTCCTAACATATTTCTCTTTGAAAAATGATGATTATGGAGAAGTGATTCCTTGGTTTTAAGAACTTCTGAAGTTTTTCATAGAGAAGGCAAATATAAGTGTATGTTAACTCCTAATTGATTGGTATTAGTTATGCCCAGGTTTAGTGGGGAGAGTGTGCCAAGGTTGATTAGCAGTGTCTGCCAAGGACATAGGTGGGAGTGACCTGCATGCTAATATTTGCTTTAGCACATTGGTACTAGCTCCTTTGGTACTCACTGTTGGTCTTACTGCTTTTGTCTTTTATTCTGTAGGTAGCGCTGGCTGTGGCCTTGAACTTGAGAACATTCCTTCGACTTGAACCCCACAACAATGGGAAAGTGGGCCTCAACTTACCAAACATTGGTGTCAAGCAGGTTTGGGATGTGGCGAGTCTTCAGCTGCTGGACACAAGATTTCTGGGTAGGTCCAAGGAGGAGAAACCAGGGGTAGAAAGAGCCTCAGGCCCTAAAGAGAGGATGAAAGGAGGGCAGCTGGGTAGTTATTCTAGGTCAGTGGTTCTAAACCTTCTTAATGCTGTGACCCTTTAATACAGTTCCTCATGTTGTGGTGACCCCCAACCATAAAATTATTTTCGTTGCTACTTCATAACTGTAATTTTGCTACTGTTATGAATTGTAATGTAAATATCTGATATGCAGGATGTATTTTTATTGTTACAAAGGGGTCACGACCTACAGGTTGAGAACCGCTGTTCTAGATGTTTTATACATTTAAGCTTTACATTTAGGTCTATGATCTATTTTGAGTTAATTTTTGTGAAAGGTACAATTTTTGTGTCTAGATTAATTATTTTGCACATGGATATTCAGTTGTTCCAGAACCATTTGTTGAAAAGACTATGTTTTTCCACAGTATGGTGCTTGTTCCTTTGTCAAAGATCAGTTGCCTGTATTTATGTGAGTCTGTTTTGGGGTTGTCTATTCCGTTCCATTGACTACGTTCACCAGTACCACACTGCTTTGATTACTGAAGTCAGGCAATGTCAGTCCTTTCTGCTTCTTCAGTAGGCACCCACTATACTGTTTTTAACAAGGAGAATGAATTGGCATTTTGTATAATTAAATGTTATTTTTTTAAATGGCCAGGTATAGTGTCTCATGCCTCTAATCCCAGGACTTTGGGAAGCCAAGGTGAGACGACGATCACTTGAGGCCAGGAGTTCAAGGGAAGCCTGGGCCAACATAGCATGACCCTGTCTCCAGAAAAAAATTAAATATTAGGCTTGGCGCCTGTAGCTCAGTGGCTAGGGTGCCAACCACATATGCTGGAGCTGGTGGGTTTGAATCCAGCCCGGGCCTGCCAAACAACAATAACAACTACAAGAAAAAAGGAGCCAGGCAGGGTGGCACCTGTGGCTCAGTAAGTAGGGCACTGGCCCTGTATACCAAGGGTGGTGGGTTCAAACCCGGCCCCAGCCAAACTGCAACAAAAAAATAGCTGGGCGTTGTGGCAGGTACCTGTAGTCCCAGCTACTCGAGAGGCTGAGGCAAGAGAATCGCCTAAGCCTAAGAGCTGGAGGTTGCTGTGATCTGTGATGCCACAACACTCTACTGAGGGTGACAAAGTGAGACTCTGTCTCTAAAAAAAAAAAAAGCAGCTGGGCATTGTGGTGGGCACCTGTAGTCCCAGCTACTTGGGAGGCTGAGGTGAGAGAATCACCTAAGCCCAAGAGTTTGAGGTTGCTGTGAGTTGTGACACCATGGCACTCTACCCAGGACCACAGCTTGAGACTCTGTCTCAAAAAAAAAAAAAAAAATTAAAAATTAGCTGATATGAGACTGGAGTCCTAATTACTCGGGAGGCTGAGGCAGGAGGATTGCCTAACCTTAGGAGTTTGAGGTTGCAGTGAGCTGTGATAGTGCCACTGCCCTCCAGGCTGAGCAGCAGAGTAAGACCCTGTCTCTTAAAAATATATATTAAAAATAAAAGAAACTTAAGCTTATTATTGGAAAATACAGCCAATATTGAGCAATTGTAAGTAAAAAAGAAATCACCTATTATTGCCCCTTTTCCTCTAATAATAACTATAGCATTCTGGCATTAATTGTTCTGCATTATTTTCTATAGGTGGGGTAGTCAGATTGATTGGGGTAGGGAAATATCTTGGTTTGTAACTAAAGTTGTGTCAGGCCATGTGCATAAACCATTCATAAATGTGTGTTTTTTTCTTTGGGTGAAGATTGTCTTTACATGCCAGTGTACGCAGACTTGCGTACTGTGCTGATTTGTGATAGCATTGGGATGTTTTATCCACTTGTAAGCAGGCATTTCTTTCCATCAGTGGCACTCCCTGCTCCAGAGCTGGGGTTTGTTTTTTGTTCTCAATTTGCTGTCTCCTTTTTGAGCTACTGCCTGATTATTTGGAGCCATGTTTCTCAGCCAGGGGGGGCAAATGAGAATTCTGGGATTTTTTTTTCCAAATTGGATATGAATCCTGGGTACCTGCTTCCTGCTCCCGCAAAGAGCCACTCCCATATATGGCATCAACCTGGAGTAAGAGTCAAAAATCCTCACTTTAGACTAACCATTTTCAACCCCATTATGCTTTGGCATCACCTGGGAGGGTTTTCTTGTGCTTGTTGCTTTTGTTTTTACCAACACAAATGGATTCCTGGCCCTACCCCTCTTTTAGTGAGAGTTGGTAGTAGTGGGAGGAGTTTTTGAAAGGGGTTCCCAAAAAAAAAAGAAAGGAGTTCCCCTGGATTATTCCAAGAATACCCTCAGTTAAAAGCCACTGCTTTGGAGCATGCATCAGAAAACAGCCAACCAGAGTACCTGGACTTTGCTTTCCATGGTACAGAGGGCTACCCAATTAGGCCAAAAATGGCCCCTGAGAACCAGCTGCTACTTTTATAGTCAGTAGCTCAGGATAGAAACAGGCAGACGTGGTAGAACATGTCTCAGAACACGCCCACTCCCAATGCAGGCCTGGGCAGGTCACTTAACCCTCTGGGCAGTGAGCAGTGACTGAGGCTGTTGTGAGGATCCAGCAGGAGTGAAGGTGAGCACCAGGGCTCTGATGCAGAGCGTAGTATATAGATAAAGGCTTGGTAGTATCCCTCAAGAAGGAAACAAAAAGAATCAGAGCCTTTGGAGACATCGTCTACTAGGTTATGAGGATTTACTATCTTTCTTTCTATGCCCCTTTGCTCTCTCCTAATAGTAAGAAACACAGCGAACATTTATTAGTTATGTGCGTGTGCCAAGCACTGATAAGTGTGTTGACATAGGTTAGTACTCCAGAATTCTCCAGCATCCTCTGGATGTAGATGGTGATACTCATCACTATTATACAGATGTGAAAATTGAGTCAAGGTCAAGTGGCTCAGATCACACAGCTGTTAGTAATACAGAAAGGATTCAGAACTGGCTTTCTCTACATCCCAAAGCCCAGGCTCTTACCAAGTGTTCCATCTCTATCACAGAACTCTGAAAGGTCTGGGGCTTTAGAGTATATCATTAATTAGTTCAACATGTATTTACTGGGCACTTAACAGGTGCTCTGAGGTTTCCTAACCAGGCACACCCAGCACCATTTCCCATTCCCTTAAGAATGTGACTCGAGGCTTGGGCAGTGTTGTTTTAAAGGTAAGCTGATCAGACTTGCTCTGCCTCCTCCGTGTCTCTGAGGAAAGTGCCCAGCCTCATACGTGTCACTGGGAAAAAACCGGCTACCTCACCTTTCTTGCCAAAGCAACATCTCATGTTTACTGGTTTTATTCAAACATCCTATTCTCACTCATTATCTTTTGGTTGGGGAATAACTTAATACTCCCTTTGATTTTGGTTTTGTGTGATAGAACCCAAGCCTTTAATTGTTAAGCTAGCATTGTGTATGTGTGTTCAAACTACTGTTAATTAAGCACTTACTACATGGTCAGGAGCTGTGCTAAAAATGTTACATCTCTTATTTAACTTTTATCTTCATGACAACCCTATGAAGAGGTATTATTGTTATCCTTATACTACAAAGGAGAGAAATTGAAGTTCGGAGAGGTTAAATCACATGCTCAAAGCCACATAGCCAGTAAATGGTACAGTCAGGATTCAAACCTAAGTGTGATTGAAGTCATTGGATGGATCAAACCATAAATTCATGTCTATCCATGCTCTGATTCTAATAACTACTGAATTTTTTGTATTCTGCTGTTTATAAGAGCACCTGAGGCCTCTCACCCACCTGTTTACTTGTTTGCCTGTGGGACAGGACAAGGTGATGTCACAGCACCCACCCCAGAGCAAGTGGAGAAGCTGAAGGAGGTGGCAGGCTTCCCTGACAACTGTACTGTCACCGAGCGCCTGGCTGTGCTGGCCTTCCTTTACTTATACCTGTCCATCTGCCGGAAGCAGAGGTGTGTACATGGTCTGGGGAAGGAGTCCAGATTCAGCCTCCCACGGAGAAATGGGAAGGGTCTCTGTTCCTGCTGCTGCTGGAGAATGCACAGGCTTCCTCATAATGTGCCAGGCCCCCTGCCAGACACTTTATATAAAGCATGCTTTTACCATTCACAGCCAACGCAGGAGAAAGGCACTATGGAGAAAACATAGTTACACCTGGAGGAACCAAGGCTTGGAGATAAAGACACATAAGGCCATGCAGCTAGTTAGCTGAGCTGGGGAGTTAATCTAGTCCACTTTAATCCTAACATTTACATCTTAGCCTCATACATCCTCCAGTTCTCAGCTTCAGTAGAACCAAAGCCAAATTCCATTCTTGGATCCAAGGTGTGGCCCCTCCCACCCCAGGCCTGGGGAGGTAACTTTGTTCCACATCTCACTGGCTCCAGGGAAACCCTTTGATTAGCAGAGTGAAGCTTGTGTTCACTTTACCCTTTGCAATAATAATCTGGGTTATCTGCCTTTGGGGAAGCTGGCTCTGTGACAGGGACAGGACTGTTGAGGTGGTAACACCTGGTGATAGAGAGTGGGAGCTTGAGAGGCAGACTGCATTGTTCAGGCCCTAGCTGTACCCTTTACTAGCATGCTTGAGGTGCTTATCCTTAGCTTCCTTGTCTACAAAATGGGTATAGTAATAGTACCTACCTCACAGTGTAGTTATGAGGGTAAATGAGTTAATTCATCTAAAGCGCTTGGCATGTAGCTTGATAAATGTTAGCTATTATTATTAACAACTTTCCCAGAAAACTATAGGGAGGATTAGAAATACATATAAAATGAGGCTAGCACTATAACTGGATAACTAGCACATACTGAGTCTTCGCTATTTTTTTCTTTTTTGTCCAGAACCCAAAGGGAAATACATCCAAGGGCCACCCTTCCCTTGAGCAGCAGGGTCCAGTGTCTGGGCCCTGTGCTGAGGATCATTTGTAAATGACCTGACACTTTTTATCCAAAGCAGGGATTTTAAATTTGAGAGAGGCGTGTCCCCTTCAGGGGCAGAGGTGTAATTCCAGAATCTTCCAGTCTGGATGGGATGGGCACATGTAATTTCAGTGTTATGATTTTTATGTTTAGAAAATGGGAAAAGTACTTAGTGGAAATGACTGAGCATGAAGTTTTACAGTTCCCACTCGCTTGGGGGAAATACCCTTAAGATGCTATGATTCTGAATTTTCTAGTGATCAAAAGCAGCCCTGTGTTAGACAGGGTTGGGAGATACTGTCTGGTGGAGAGGCCTCCCTGTGAACACACAACTTAGTGCACTGCACTGAGCGGCCGTGGGGGTTAATTGCATGCTGAGGGGACCTGTGAAGAGAGCTAGGGATGGCTGTCAGAGAAAAGTAGCACAGTGGAAGTGACATCTGATTTCTCTGGGGAGTAAAGAGTCATGAGACTGTCGCAGGCAGAGAGCCCAGCCTGTACAGAGCAGGGCCAGAGGAGAGCCCAGGGTGGCAGCGGAGGGGGGAAGAAGGTTGGAGAAAGGGGATAACAGTCTGCCAGGCACTTTTAGGAGGAGCTCTGGTTGAACAGCGCAGTGATTCAGAGGACTATGACACCTGTTTTCTAGTTGTGTCTTTCAGCGTGAGCCCTGTTGTCCACTAGGGACACCACCTTTGGGGTCAGGAAATCCTAAGTGCAAAAAACTAGGCCAATGAGTCAGGCCCCGCCAATGTTGAGCCCTGGGCCTCAGCCCCTGGTTCATTGTTGGCACCTCATTACCACCTCATCTGTCTTCAGGAGAGTCATGTTTGGTGCCCGGGTGTGTTTCAGGGCCCTGCCGAGCCTGGACATCATGGTGTGGTCAGAGCTGCCCACTGGGGCAGGCTTGGGCTCCAGTGCCGCCTACTCGGTGTGTTTGGCAGCTGCCCTCCTGACAGCCTGTGAGGAGATCCGGAACCCACTGAAGGACGGGGATCACGTCGGCAGGTAACCACGGTCCTCAGCCACTCTCCCCACCGTCCTGTGAGGTGAGAGCCGCCATGGTGGCTGTTTTACAGATGAAGAAGCTGAGGCCCAGAAATGGATGGCCGAGGGCTGCACAGCTAGTAAGGGCAGAGTGGGATTTGAACCCAGGCAGCTGGAGTCTAGAACCTCAGCTCTTCTCTCCTGCACTAAGTCAGTTCTGCTCCCCTAGTTTGGCCCCTGTGGGTCCAAGTATTCATGTATGGCAGAGAAAGCTGGAGTTGGGGTGTTGAGGGCAGTGAGTCAGAGGCGCCTTCTCACATCTGCATTCACTCACGGTGTGCCCTTGGCCTGGGCAGTGCACTCCTCAAAGCTTCAGTGTCCCCTTCTGTCATAATACCCAACAGCTTGTTGTTGGGTTGCCCTAAACAGTTGTGCATAAGTGTATAATTTGCCAAGAAATCAATATAACGGGGTGTATCTATTAGATTAGGGTGTCTCTCCTCCTCTGGGTGCTCAGCCTAGTCTTCATGGAGGGCGTGTCACCTCTGTTCACTTGTCACGGTGGAAGACCACATGGGGCAGCGAGGCCTTCGCAACAGGCTTGACCACACACCCTTCCTGTTACTTGGGAACACTCCTTGAGAAACCGCCCTGAGCCTGAGTTTGGTTTAGAATGGAGTTTTTCTACCTGTGGCATGAAAATGCTGCATTTTTCTGTTTGCCCTGGGCCTACTGGCTGCCCACTAGGGTTTCCCTCTCATCCAGAAATTCCTTGTCTAATAGAATTCAGACAGAGCCCAGGGGCTGCTCTGGTCCTTATAGGCTACAGCAGTGGATGCCATTGACGTTGACGTTGTCTCCGTGAGTAACTCCAGAGTTGCTCTGCAAAGCCACCATGTGTGGAGAGAGGCAGAAACTGTGCTTTAAAGGAGTCTGGTAGATGGTGAGAGATTGTATGTAAACATGGTGCCATGCTGCTGCTTCCAGGAAGCTCAGTAAGATTGGCCCATAACAAGCTGCATGGCCCGGGGCAGTCCCTTCTTCCTGGAACTCTACTTCCTCATCTGAAAATTAGGCTTCCCGAGGCCATCAGCCTTGATGGTTGGCAATCCTGTGATAAGATAGTGACTTAGAAGAGTGGCTTCAAGATAGCTGTCATTACTGTGTGCTAATAGCTGGTTATAACCAAGACCAGTGAAGGCCTGGTTTCCGCCGGTCTCCTGAATAGACAGACACACACACAGGCCAGGGAGAGAATGACTGTGTGTACAGGACCATGAGGTCCTTCTCAGACTGCTTCTGAAAACCAGTTCTCCCACCTCCCCTGTAGGCAGTCCCTCCTTCTCAGACCCCAAGCCCTGCTCTGTCCTGCCTCCTCAGTGTTTCTAAGTCACGAAGGACTGGAGCCTGGTCTCCTCTGAAAACACAAATCAGAGCCCCCAGAAGAATGAAGTGTGCACAGAGTAGGAAGAAGACTGGCATTTTTGAGCAGGCTGGGCCCTGGGCTAGGTCAGCCACCTGGGTCACGTTTCCCCCCATTGATGGCTCACTTCTTCTCAGTCACACTGGCACCATTTGGTCCCTGGAAAGGACCAAGCAGCTCTGGTCCAGTTTCAGTGGTTGCACAAGGCAGAAACTCTGGCTGGAATGCTCTCCCCCACACCGTCCCTAGCTGACTGTCCCTTGTCCCTCAGCACCCCCTATCAGAGTGAGGCATACTGCATTTGGCCTGCATTGTTCTTACAGAAGCACCATCACCTTGGACTTAATTAAATATTACAGTGTAACTGTTTGTTGGTAGTTAAATATTGATTGCTTACGGACCTTCATTTTCTCTAATAGACTCCAAGGGACATCTTGTCTGTTTTGTTCCTAGCTGTGAGCTTAGTCATGGGCATATGGTAGCTGCTCAATAAATATTGAACAAATGAGTGAAGGGAATCTTCTTGGCACCATAAAGTTTAATAGTTAAGAACTTGGGCCCCAAGTCTGCAGGTATATTCTGATGTAGAAGTGAGTGATGCTAAAATCTGTAAGAAATAGGATAATAACTGTACCTTCCCTATAGGGTTATTGAGAGAATTGTGAGAGATGGTACATTTGAGAAAGCATTTACCATGGTGAGTGGCACATGCTGCTCAGTGACCAGTGTTAACTTGTTATTAATCATAGCCTCACTGCTATGTGAGTTGCAGGTCCAAAATAATCCTCAATTCACAGATGTGGAAAGAGACCTAGAGAGGGTAAGTGACTGCTCAAGGCTCCATAGTGGTTGAACTGGACTTTAAGTATACCCAGGAGCTGTAATCCCAAGTGGCCTCTTTAGGGAAGAGCACATGCCTTCTCCTGGGCATTATACAAAGCACCTCACAGTAGCCTCTGTGAAGCAGACACTATTTTTTTTTCTTGAGACAGAGTCTCACTTTTACACCCTTGGTAGACTGCAGTGGCGTCATAGCTTACAGCAACTTCAAACTCTTGGGCTCAAGTGATTCTCTTGCCTCAGCCTCCCAAATAGCTGAGACTATAGGTGCCCACCACAATACCTGGCTAATTTTAGAGATGAGGTCTTGTTCTGACTCAGTCTGGTCTCGAACCTCTGAGCTCAGGCAGTCCACCCACTTCAGCCTCTCAGAGTGCTAGGATTACAGGTGTGAGCCACCACTATCCCTAGTTTATGGATGAGAAAACTGAGGGTCAGAGGTGAAGCCATTGCTTGAGGACACCCTGTGAATCAATGGCAGAATGGGGTTCACAACAGGCCCACTGCTTAATCTGTAACTCTGCCACCGAGTCACATCATTCTCAGATGTCACATAATCACCCAAGCCTTCTTCCATTTCATGAGGAAGGGAGTCCCCAGAATTCCCTCCCAAGGAGGCAAAAACTGGGAGCACAGAGTGAGGGAACGGGGCTGATGGCTTCTCCTTGTTCGATACTCATGTGTTTGGGGTCTGTTCACTTGAACCATTTGTGAGCCCACACCTGCTCTGTAGAAAGCAGCAAGGCTGCATGCTTGGGAGAGAGCTAGGAACCTGGCCCACAGGGGTGTCCAGGGCACCCAGAATTCAAATTCATAATGATTGTGCTTTGGACCTACTTGCAGGACCTTGGGAAATTGCCACACTTCTGCTAGCTCTTCTTAAAGGCAGGCTTGGTTCAGGTGCAGGTACTTAGGTAGGTGTCTGTCCTGGTAGTAATTACCAGCTGCTGACTAGACAGCTTGCACAGAGCACTTTGCCAGCATTAGACACTCATGCAACTAGCCGCCAAGGAGGGTGGAGCTACCATTCTCCAGGTGGGCAGAGTGAGGCTCAGAGCGGATAGGTGACGAGCCCAGAGGCACTTAGCTAAGAAGAGGCAAAGTAGGACTGTGGGAAACCAAAGCCTGGTTCTTCCACTGCCCCATGTGGCTTTCAGAGAGAAGGGAGGGTTCAGCGTGGTCTTTAGCTGGAGAGGTTCAGAGGTGTCTTGTTCTTTCTGAGCTCAAAGGCCCAAGCTTCTTTGCCTCTTGGCCTCCATCTATCACAGTCTGTGAGGAGGTGACCTCTGCACCCCCATCACCACCACAGTAAAGATGTACTTCTGTGTCTTCAGGTGGACTGAGCAGGATTTGGAATTAATTAACAAGTGGGCCTTCCAGGGGGAGAGAGTGATTCATGGGAACCCCTCCGGAGTTGACAATGCCATCAGCACATGGGGTAGGTGCTGCCTCGGGTTTGTTTTCTTTTTATCTTTAAAGTTCTTAATATAAGTGTAGATGCCCAGGCACCTGTATTGGTTTGGGATTAATACAATCAATGGATTCTGAAGAAAGCAGCATTTTCCTGTCTGGGCTAGGGTGGAAATGGGAGAAACCCTGGGGCTCTACCTCTTACCCTCTGAGTCAGAACCTCTGGGGTGAGGCTGGAGCCTGGAAACTACAGCTTCCGTGAGCTCCCAGAGGAATTTGCAAGGATAAGCTGCAGAACCATTGCCCTGGAGTTTGCAGACCACAGAAGTGGCCACCCCTAGTGATGGTGATGATGCTTGTGTCCTGGGCCTAGATGCTGAGTCGTGGGCCCTGCCTTTACCAGGTGGCCTGTGGGAATAAAGTTGGGCAGGGGAAGCACCTATGAGCCTATGGCCTGGTGAGAGCGTTCTGGCAGAGCTGAAAGGTTCTTTTTGCCCTCCTGAACCTTTTGTAACTGAAGCTGAGATGAGTAGTTAGGTTGTTTAGCCTGTTGCCTAGATGGGACAAAACTCTAACCCCAACCCAAAGTCCAGCTTCTCTTCCAAGAGACAAAAATCCGTAGCTTTCCCACAGTTCTACTCCACTTGTTCTCTCTTTAGGAGGAGCGCTCCGGTACCAACAAGGGAAGATCTCACCCTTAAAGAGGTAATCTGGGGGTAGAGCCGTGTATTCCAGCATGCCTGCATCACCTCGTCCAGGGGGAGAGTTCTGCATCTTTGGGAAGTACCATCTTTGGGTGTCCCTGGCTTGGCCCTCCCCTGACGTGGCCCTCACTGTCCACTGGCAATGAGAAATGCCTGGCAGTTACTTTTTCCTTCTCCACTTTGGAGAGTTTAGAGGAGAAAGTCATGCATGGCTTCCTTTCCCTTCACCTTCCAAAAAGTGGCTGTGCCCCCCCCCCCACATGTGTCTTGGCTGCTCATTCATTCATTCATCTATTCATTTTGTAAACAAGAATTGATCCCTTTCTGCATTCCTCTTGACACTAGACTAGGGCCTAGGAATGTAAAGATGAATCTTGGGCACAGTTTTCAAGAGCTCTCAGTCTGCTGGGGAGGGGGGAGTGGGTACAGACATGCACACAGAAGTCCCCACAAAACAACGTGACAGTTGCCACGATGGAGGCACCCACAGTGGGCTTATAAGGGGCTCAGAGCGCAAGTGACATTTTGCATTTTTTTGTTTTGTTTTTTAGAGACAGACTCTCACTTTGTCACCCTCAGTAGAGTGCTGTGGCATCACAGCTCACAGCAACTTCAAACTCTTGGGCTTAAGAGATTCTCTTGCCTCAGCCTCCCAAGTAGCTGGGACTACAGGCGCCCGCCACAACACCCAGCTATTTTTTTGTTGTAGTTGTCATGGTTGTTTAGCAGGTCCAAGCCGGGTTTGAACCCGCCGGCCTGGGTGTATGTGGCTGGCACCCTAACCACTGAGCTACAGGCACCGAGCCTCAGTTTGTTTTATGTTTCTACACCCATTTCCTCAGCAGTTCTCAACCTGTGGGTCATGACCCCTTTGTAACAATGAAAATACATCCTGCATATCAGATATTTACATTACAATTCATAACAGTAACAAAAGTACAGTTATGAAGTAGCAAGGAAAATAATTTTATGGTTGGGGGTTACACAACATGAGGAACTGTAGTAAAGGGTCGAGGCATTAGGAAGGTTGAGAACCACTGCTCTAGAGTAATTGGAATCAAGTGCATTTTAAATGTCAACATTCTCTGTTCTATTAGGACCCACAGTGGAAATGTCAGGTACAGGGAATTAAATGTGGCAAGATGGAACCAGGTTTTTTAGTTATTCCCTGAGCCCTGGGCCAAGTTGCCTCATGTCATTTTCCCAGGCCAGCTGGCCAGCTCAGTGAGAGTCCCAGTACTCTCTTACCTTCTTCAGCCAGGGAAGCCCTCTATGCTGATGAGCAGCAGATCCTGGCCCACTGCCCTCACCTGTGGGGCCACTCCGTTGTCACTCAGCATAGTGTGCACAGCACTGTGCCACTGCCTGACCCTCAGGGATCTTCCTGTCCCAGTGCTCTCAGCTTCCTGGAGCCAAGGCTACCTTTCTGAGGCTCCATATCAGGGCTTCTCAATCTAAGCACTATTGACATCTGGGGCTGATCAGTGTCTTCAGACACTGCCCATTGTCTCCTGGTGGGCAATATCATCCTTGTGCCCACGCCTGCTCTCCACAGGAGCCTAGAAACATGGAGCAGCTTCTGCTGGCTGCTCATGGCCTTAACTGCCAGCAGAACCCAGGGAGGGCCCCTTTGCCAGGTGGAGGTCAGACCTGCCAGATGTCCAGAAGCTGTGCAGAACCCGAGTGAATCGAGTGGAGGATTCTGAGACACCTTGGCCTGCTCCCAGGAGTCCATAGTCATAACTATAGTAGTCAGGGAGAAGCATCCACAAAGCTCTGAAGCTGTTCTGGTTGACAGGGAGTGGGGACCTAGATCTGGCTGCAGGTCTGGGAATCGTTAATGGATGTAGTGGCATTTCATTGCTTCTTTGTTTCCAAGAGCCACTTGTGTCCTAAGCACTGGATTAGGCCCTGGAGCTAGAAAGCCATAAGACATGGTCTGGGTACCCTGAGTGTATCAGTGGGGGGAGTCAGGAGATGAATGGCAGAGAGTTTGCAAGGTGGGGGCAGGGGAGGGGCCCGTTGTTAGTACTGTGCTGGGCAGAGGCTCTGGGGTTCATAGGCCCAGGTTTGAATCCAGCCCTGCCATTTGCCAGCTGGGAACTCTCAGTGAGTTGCTCCTCTGAGGCCTCCATCTCCTCATTTATATAATGGGGACCTTGAGCTTGAGGTCAGAAAAGCTATCTATGAGGTGCTTGGCTCTTTGCTAATGAAGTTTATTCATCCAGGCCACAAATCTTGAGCACTATGTGCTGGGCACTAGGGCCTCAGCAGGGAACAAAACAAAGTCCTACCAGCATGGAGCTCACAGTTCTCTGGGAGGAAACGACCAGCACAGAAGTAGCTCTGGGAGAGCAGGCCAGGCAGTCGTAAGTGCCCTTCAGAATCACAGCAAGGCCAGGGACAAGAAAATGAAGGAGCAAGCTGGTGGGATGAGGGAACTAGGGAGCCAACCATGAGGGAACATTTGAGCAGAGACCTGAATGAGATAAAAATGAGTTGTGTGGCCTTCAAGGGCTGGTCCCTAGCAGAGGAAACTGCAAGTGCAAAGGCCCTTAGGCAGGGGGAGCGGCCTGGCATGTGGAGCAGCAGCTTGGAGGTCAGAGGGCTGGGGAGAGGGAGCCTCCAGGGTAGGGAGCGGAGGAGAAGGAGGGGAAAAGGTGGGCAGGCCAGGATCACACAGCACATACAGAAGATAGCCCTGAGTGGTGACCACTTATGTCGTAAGAGCCCTGGGTTTGGTGGCAGGCCTATCTGCAGAGGTCTTGTCTAAGCCAGAGGAAGATGCAGTTCCCAGACTTCTCCCATCCTGGTGGAAGGGAACAAACTGAGCTTTGCTGCTTGCTACAGGGCGTCTCAGCAGATGGCAGGTTCTCTGAGAATCCCGCAGGTCAGACTCCACATTAATCCCACCAATGGCTCAAAGGGGAGCTTTTCCTCTAGACCACCACATGGTGCTTCTCTATAAAAAAATGCATTGTTTGTGAAGTGGATCAAGATGCGGCCTCCCAGAACACTGCCCTTTTGAGGAATGGCTTGTCTTTGAAGGGAAGAGAAAAGCCAAATAGAATGTTCATCTTTTGTAAAGTTGGGGGGGAAAAAAGAGCCAGCCTCCAAGGCTGAGAATCGATATTAATTTCATGGGCTTTTGGGCGGTGAGATAAAGCATGTTTCTGGCAGCCTTTCCCAGCCCTATTGGATTTTACAGTCGTGAACTGTGAAGAGAGAGGGAATCAAGGTGTCAGGGCTCTGCCTGGCTCCAGCTGTCTCAGGCTAGAGCGCATCCAGATGCCCCGCCCACCACCGCCAGGGCCTGCAGCACTGGGAAAGGCAGATTGGAAATGTTGGCTCAAGCCCTCCAAGACAGCTAACCACAAGGACAATTAGGACTGTGACTTTAGGAAGGATTAGACATCCTCTGGGGCAGATGAGGACAGCAGTGTCATTCTGGAGAATTGGCTAGGTGTGGCTATAACCACATGTGGACCAGACTTCTGTTCCCGGCACCATCAAGTAGGGCAAAAATAGGGGGAACTGGCCTCCCTGTGTCATCCTGCAGTGGCCGTCTCAGGGAATAGCTAGCCTGGACATCCGTTCCAGGGCCTGCTGCTTTGTCTTTCTGAAACTCTGGCTCCCCAAGGCGATACACACAACTGAACCCTGGCTCCTCCTGGCACTCTGTATTCTAGCCACTCTGAACTTATAATCCAACGAATGTGCCATGTTCTACCCATGCAGGTTTGCACAGGCTGCTCCACTGGCCAGAACTACTTGTCCTTTGCCCTGGTTAGTTCTTACACATCCCCAGTGTGCAGCTTCTGTGTCATGCCCGGGAAAACCTTCACACACTTTCTCCCCACTTCCCTGGCCCACAGGCCAAGCTGTGCCTAGGTGTCTGGTTGATGCTGAGTGAATGAAGGAGCGACTAAAAAGCCAAGCAAGGGTGTCCAACTGCCTGTGGGCTAAGGTGGAGATATAGCTGTGGACAGTGGCCCCAGTGTCCCCCAACCCTGTGTCACTTGCTGGGACCTCTGCTTCCTCCTCTGTGTCAGGGCAGGGTGGTGTCCTGGATTGCTTCTAGTCCTGAGCCAGCTCCTGTCTTGAGCTCAGCATAGATCTGCCTCCTCTTCACCCCACAGGCCACCGGCTCTCCAGATCCTGCTGACCAACACCAAGGTCCCTCGCAGCACCAAGGCCCTTGTGGCTGGCGTCAGGACTAGGCTGATTAAGGTGCTTCTCCTCTTGAGCAGGTTTCAAGCAGGGCCATGATACTATCGCATTGGGATTTTCAGTGTTTCCCTCTGGTTGCTGGGTTATGGAGGGGCATAATGGGTGGTGGACGTGGGGAATGTTAGAGGAAATGATTTCAGCAGAAAAAGGTAGTACTCTCTGTGCCCACACCCTGGCCAAAGAGTGGGACTGGGATACCTGAAAGGGCAGTGATCAGGTTCATTAGACACGCTGGCATTGCTGCAAGAATCCATCTCCTGAAGTCAAGGGCAGCCAACAAGGCCAAACCCCGGCCTAAGGAGAGGAGGTTTCCCCCGAGAATGGGTGTGGTTATAGGGACACCTCTGCCCCATTGCTAGGGCAGTGATCCTGCCCTCAGGCCTAACCAGCTATTCCTTCCTTTTCTTCCAGTTCCCAGAGATCGTGGCCCCTGTCCTCACCTCCATAGATGCCATCTCCCTGGAGTGCGAGCGCGTGCTGGGAGAGATGGCGGCAGCACCAGCCCCAGAGCAGTACCTCGTGCTGGAAGTAAGAGTCCAACTGCAGGAGCTGGGGCTACTCCGTCCATACCATTTAGGCACTGGCTCCCCAGTTGGACTGTGCTTAGGATCCCCTGGGATCCAAAATGTAGAGGCCAGGCCCTGCCTCTAGCCTCTGTTCTCAGGGTCCCCAGGCTTGGGCCCAGAGTTTGTGTGTGTGCTCACATGCATGTCTTAAGGCCTCTTCCCAGATTATTCTGAGTCAATGAGAGAATATCCCGAAGGAGTTTAGGGCAGTACCTGGCACATAGCAAGTGCTGTAGGCCAGATTTGGGGTCTCACATTTAAGGGGGTCAGGCCCATGTGGTTAGGCAGATATATTGCTGTTAATACAGAGTTCTCTATTGGTCCAGGAGTAATTTCTTACCTGGCCTCCTCTTCCCTGTTATTAGTGCTACCTGCATGTGTTCATTCCACAACCGTTTATCAACTGCCTGATTTGGGCCAGACAGGTTCTAAAAAAAAATTTTTTTTTTTGAGACAGTGTTACTTTGTCACCTTCAGTACAGTGCTGTGGCATTACAACTCAGAGCAACCTTAAACTCTTGGGTTCAGGTGACCCTCTTGCCTCAGCCTCCGGAGTAGCTGGGACTACAGGTGCCTGCCACCAGGCCTGGCTAGTTTTCTTTTTTTTTGAGACAGAGTCTCTGCCCTGGGTAGAATGCCATTGAGTCATAACTCACAGCAACTTCAAACTCTTGGGCTCAAGAGATCCTCTTGCCTCAGCCTCCTAAGTAGCTGGGACCACAGGCGCCCGCCACAATGCCCGGCTATTTTTTGGTTGCAGCTAGTTTTAGAGACAGGGTCTCACTCTTGCTCAAGCTGGTCTCGAACTCACAAGCTCAGGCAATCAACAGCCTTGGCCTCACAGAGTGGTAGGATTACAGACATGAGGCACTGTGCCCAGCCCTAAAATTCTTTTTTCATTATTGTAGCCCCAGCCACCACCATTTGCATAATTTCATTGTAGAAGCTGAGATCTTATATTTGCATTTGGTCAGGGATGTGTCTGAATCCCAGCTCTACCTCCGCCCTCTGTATATCTCATGCTCAGAGGTCCGGTGGGTGACAGACACACAAGTCTGATGCCTAGAGTGCCGCGAGCTCAGTGAGCCAAAGGGCCCAGGCTCCTCCTCCTTGGACAGGGTCCATCTGGCCTGGGGAATATGGACTGCCATTAAAAAGCCATCTGGCTGCCCATAAAGAAGGAGAGGATCAGGCAGCCCCTGGCTGGTGTAGCCATGAGGTAGCTGTCAAGTGCAGATACAGGAGGAGGACCCCTCAAAGGGGCCATGTGTCTATTTCCCCACAGCCCCCAACCCTCTGTGATTTATTACCTGCTTCAGTCATTGCCTGGTGCCTCACTGATCCCTGCAGGCCTTTGAGTCTGCAGCCCCAATACTGAGTGGAAGCTGCTACTAAACCATGCCTTTTACAAATGATCTTTCACTTGATCCTTACCACAACCTACCTGTGAAGTAACCTCCTTATCCCATTTTACAGATGTAAAAACCGAAGCTGAAAGAGAGTGATTTCTGAAGTTATCCAGCTAGTGAGTGGCTGAGCCAGGGGTCAAACTGACTGACTTGCTAATTCCTTTTTTCAACAGATCTTTAGTAAGCACCTACTATGTGCCAGGCGCAGGTCCTCCATCTAATTCCCTCCCCTGACTTTTGTCTCCCTCCCCCGACCTTTGTCTTCCTGGCTCTCCATTCCTTCCACATAGAAGGGAGGAAACACAGTGCCCCTGAGTAGGAAATTAATAATGATAGAGTACTGCCTAAAATATACCCTGTTGAGCCCCTGGAGAATGCCATAGAACAGCACGTTGATTATACATTGTATATATTTTTGGCTGTGGCAGCCACTGAAATGTGCAGCTCAGCTTCTGGACAGCTTTGCACTCAAACTAGTGAGCTGTTCTTCTGTGTCACAACCTGTCATCTGATCCTTGACAGATTTTGGATCAGAATGTGACAGGTGTCTGGAACCTGCCTCAGCAACGTGACACCTGGAGCTCAGGCGCAGAGAGAGGCCCCCAGAAGTCTTCTTTCACATCCAGCCTGCTGGGCTGGTGAAAGGCACCTGGGGCCATCATGCCTGTCTGCTCGTTTGTCAGAAGTGCTGGGGAGGGGGGAAGGCTGTCCCAGGCAGCCCGACCAGCCGTCCCAATGCGGGAGAACAAAGTGGGCCTCAGCAGACATGTCTCAGTGACTGGCAACTGATGGCGTCTGGGCACTTCCAGCACCTTGGAGCAGAACTGTGTCATCAAGCCACACAGCATGAACCCTGCTTGCTCCCCACAGAAGTGGGTGGTGGCAGCAATGCCAAGGGTGCTCTTGAAGGCAGGGTAGGCAGGAGCTTCATGTCAGGCAGACCTGGTTTCCAGTGCCAACTTAGTACCTTACTTGCTTAATGACCTTAGGCAAGTCACTTGCACCTCAGAGCTTCAGTTTCTTCCTCTATAAAATGGGGACGTTGGCAACATATCCATAAAGATATTAATAGCAGCAGAGCACTTATCTCTTGCCAGATGTTGTATAAAAGACTCTTATGATCCCTGTTTACAAGGGGGGAAACAGAACAGAGAAACTTGCCCAAGGACACATGACCAAGAAGGGGCAGAGCTGGGATACAAACCCAGGCTGTCCTGACCCCAGATCCCAGCTTCTTAACTTCCCAAGGGCGATAACCATGGCTGGATTCTCAGCCTCATTGCCCTGGCTTCTTGTGAGCATTTCATAAGTAAAATGTAAATAGCAGGTGCTGGGCAGTGGTAGCTGTTTTATTATTTCATCCACGTATGTCTTGTTTGATCCTTGGAGAGCAGGAGTTTTATTATGCATAATTGAAGAAACCTAGACAAACATTTAGCTGTTTCCCCCACTCATGACCTTGCTAGAAGTATAGCTCAGTTCTTACTCTGAAGTCAGTCTCTGAGGCAGCTGTGTAAGATGGCATATTATTTGAGACTTTCTCTTTCAAATGATAGAAACCCACCACAACTAGGCTTTAACAGAGAAGGAATTTATTGGCTCTTAACTGAGAAGGCTAGAAGTAAATGGTTTCAGGTATAGCTTGATCCAGGGGCTGCAACAATGATCAGGAATTTCTTCATCTTCCATGCAGATAATTTTGGCACACTGTGTCTGAAGTCAACTAGTTCAGAGGCTCCTGTAGAAAGAGACAGAGAAAACAGTGGGAGGGCCCTGAATGGCCCACCTTGGGCGACATACCCATTCATGATCAATCACTAGGGCAAGAGGCTTCTGTGGCCAGCTGTAGAATACTTGCTCACTACTGTGGTGTGAAGGTGAGCTCAGCTCCATCCAAGCCCCGTGGGAAGTTCTGCATGAAGGACAGTGGAGAGAGACAGTACTCCAGGTGTTCAAAGCCATTAGCTGTCTCAAACCAACAGCTGTCAGACAGACAAGCAGACATGCAGGTGAGCATAAGTTCTCAGCCTTGGGCAGGCCAGGTGGGAACAGACCTCACCTTTTCCTCCAGGAGCTCATGGACATGAATCAGCACCACCTGAATGCCCTTGGTGTGGGCCATGCCTCTCTGGACCAGCTCTGCCAGGTGACCTTGGCTCATGGACTGCACAGCAAGCTCACTGGTGCAGGTGGCGGCGGCTGTGGCATCACACTCCTCAAACCAGGTACCCTAGAGGTGGGCCAGGTTGCCAATTTGAGCTTGGATGAGGAGACCACCTGGAGAATTCCCTTGGGAAGAGAAAGTGGCCTATGAACGAGTCTCAGCACTGATGTATGGCCTTATACAAACTAATTAACCTCTCCAGGCCTCATTGGTTAAGAAAGGAGGAGAGCACATAGCTTGCAAGGTTGATGCGCAGATTCAAAGAGAAAAGTTCATTTAGCTCCGTGCAGGGCAGGGCTGTGATAGGCTATTGGGGTCACCTTCACCACCACCTTCTGGCCTGCCAAGCCTCCCACAAACTTGAGAAATAACCAGGGCGTTGTCAGGCTCATGTCTGCACCACCTTCCACTCCTGCCTCTTGACATGGCCAGGATAGGGGTCGATCTTGCTACAAAATGAAAGGGTTTTTTCTTCCTGTTGGGTTTGGGGAAAAGAAGCCTCCTGTGCTAGTAACTGGGGACCCAGCAAGGGGCTCCTGGTGGTGTTTCCCAGCATGCTGTATCAGCCCTCAGGGCTGTTCCTGTCTGCCTCTGTTTCCCTCTGTGCTCTATGTCTCTCATTTTTGGTCTCCCTTCTCTTTATCTCCTCCTCCCTGTTTTTCATCCTTTGCTGTGCAGGAAACCCACCAGTGGCCCCAAGGCATACCGTTCCCTGGGAGTGGTGACTGCCAGGCCTCAGGAGAGGCCACACCCTTACTTCAGCAGACCCTGACTGTTGGTTGCTTGTTCAGGGTCCATGATGATGCTGAGAGTTGCCATTTGGGGGATGTTCCCAGTGTACCAGGTGCCATGCCGGGCACTTCATTGGCATTATCCCACTTAAGCCTCATAGGAACTTCAGAGTGGTGGGTACTATTAGCCCCTTTGGTAGATGAGAAGACTGAGGCTCAGAGAGGGAAACTCACAGCAAGGCCACATGAGAGAACCCATGTTTCTAACTGTAGCTTCATAAACCCCCAGGGAGGTGAAGGTGTAAGGCTCGGCATTGCAGTACCTGCAGGGGCTGTTAGGAGCGTCTTTGTGCCTCCCAGACCTGTTGGCTCGGGTGGGGTCACAGCAGAAAGGTACAACAGGAAGACCTGTACCCTAGGCCTTTTCTTTGAATGAGACAAATTTTCCCAAAAGGAGCAGACAGTTGTCACTGGTGACCTGCCTTCCTTCCCCCCAGGTCTGGCACGGCCAAAAGTGGAGGCCACAAAGCAAGCACTGACCAGCTGTGGGTTTGACTGCTGGGAAACTAGCATTGGTGCCCCTGGAGTCTCCATTCACTCAGCTGCCTCTCTGGACAGCCCTGTCCGGCAAGCCCTGGATGGCCTCTGAAATGAACCTGTGATGCTGCTACACCACCAAGAGCCCCATTCTCGATTATTCTAGGGGCTGGATTTAGCCTCCGTGCTGTCCAGTGGGTGCCTAGCTCCTCTGTGATGCCTTTTCTGCTGGCCATGGCTCCAGTCACAGTGGTGGGACTTGAGTCTGCCCTGGGCTGGGCTGCCAGAGCACTCAGCATCCTCTCGAGCCAGCCAGACAGTGGGGCCCAGTGGGGTCTTCTGAGACTTCAGACCTGAGACATGAGGAGGTTCCACATCTTCCCTGAAGCTCCCAAAGACCTATCTGCTTTGGGCCCCTCTACCTCCACCTGCAGACTCGCTGGCCCGTATGGATGGATGTCCGACTGCTGAAGCAGGGTGCCTGCTCTCTCCCTCTGCCTCGACCCTTCACCTGACTCTCCAGGGCTAGGCACCTCCACCTCCTCCAGGAAGCCTTCTCTGACCCCTGCCCGGCTGACCCCTGCTGCACTTCCCTCCTGTGTTATCTGCCATCTTGTCTGACTTGTCCAGTACTTTCCATGCCTGCCCTTCTGCCCAGTTTGCTGGGGCTACCCCAGGGACTGCCTGGGTGGTGGCCTTTGCCTTCTGTCCTCTAGCCTGAGGGGTGGCTACATGAAGGCAGGGTCAATGTGCAGTTTCTTCCAGTCTGCACCTGAGGGTTTGGCAGAAAAGATGGCGCAGAAGGAATAAAAAGATTTTGAATAAACAGCACTTTACTCCATGTGCAGAAAGACAGGGGCTGCGTAGACTCCAGCCCATCATGCCTGCCCCTGTCGTCCCCTCTCCAGCTACTTTCTTGGTGGACCTCTTCTGCAATTGAAGGAATTAAGGGCTTTGGGTCACTGTGTGTGTCTCAGGGATAGGGTGGTTTTCCCAGATGGCCCTTCCTATATAGGGCTCAGAACACATATGCCAGGACAATGCTCTCAGGCCATCAGCACAACCACAGGCTGCTTCTCCAGAAGGGAAATGTAGAACTTCTTAGCATCTGGAATCACAGGAACCTGGTAATGCACAGACTTTTGTAAACAGAAAGCTGCAGTAGCTCCTGGGACGTTCCTTTCTGAAATTAACTGGCCAGGTGGAGAAAACAGACTCTTGATGTTCATTGCCTCAGTGCTTTCATGTTGCTGGTCAAGCTGGCTCATTCTGAAATGGTGGGATCCACTGGGAAACCTGTGTAGGTATTGCTTTGTCAACAGAACCTCTGGGAGCCACAGGTCTGCCAGAGGCAGGGTAGAAAGGTGGGGGCGGGGCAGAGATTGCAGGTTTTGGTTAAAATGGCTTAGTGCGCGTCTGCCCTTGGCCACTAGGGGGCAGCTGGTGCCTTTCCCAGTTGACGTCTTCGGGGAGGATGGGAGTGAGCCGTCTGGAGCTAAAGAGTGGAGACCGACCTCCATCCCTATTCCCAGGCGCCTCTCTGGGCCTGCCTGGGGTTACTGCCAGGCACAGGGGAACAAGAGGAAGGACACCTGCCCCAGCATCACTGATGGCAGTTCCCTGCCCCTGCCCTTTAAAACACAATGCATAAAACAACAATATTAATACAGAGCTCTCAGCAGAGGACAAGCACTATTTTCAGTCCTGTACATATGTCATCTCTGAATCTCTTCCCCAACCTCAGAGTATAATTTTACAGATCAATAAATTGAAGCTCAGAAAGGTTGAGTAACTTGTACAAGGCCACACAGCTAATCAGCATCTGAACAGGAGTCAAACTCAGTCTGACTCCAGAGCCTGCGTCTGCTGGGTGCAGCTCTGTGCACAGATTCATTGCGATTTTATAGTCTTCCTTGCTCAGGCTCATCATTTCCTCTGGATCCTGACCCACTTGGTGAGGGCCAGTCCTTGGCACGCACATTTTCCTACCCACGTGGTTTGAGTGAGCAACCAGGGCCCAGACACACTGTTGTCAGGGAAGATGTTGGTTGACAGCCAGTTCCAGGAGTTGAGCCTAGGATTCTCTTGGGGCTTCCATAGGTATCCATGGCAGCTATAAAATGGGTTGGAGTAGAGGCTGAGGCCCCAGAGCCTGCCTGCTCCTTTACACCCTCTTTCTCATTCACTGGGGACAGGATATCACTCCTGGAGCATGGAGTGCTTTGCCCCAGTGAAGTAGCCACCTGTGTACCTTGGCCGGCACAGCCTCTCCACCCAGCCACCACTGCAGCCACCATATGGGCCTCTTGCCAGCCACTCCTGGCCACCTGTCTTTGATATACATTTGCAGACAATTTGCATGTACAGCCATCACTTCTCATTGCCTAGTGTGGTGGTTTTGACCCTCAGCTGTACGTCACAATCACCTGGGGAGCTTCTGAAAGACACCCAGGAATGCCTGGCTGTGTCCCCAGATATTCTGATTTAACTGATCTTGGTGGGATTCCATCACTGGTAACTTCCCAGGTGATTCTAAAGTGTGGCCTGGGCTCCACTTTACCAACCCACTAGACTTGGCAAGCCAGTTCACCTCTGGGGGCCACAGCTTCCTCATCCAGAAAACAGGGTGATAATTCCCACCTTATAGAAGTTTCATAGCGATTAAAAGAAAATACACAAAAAGCCCTTGGCACTGTACCTGCCATATAGTAAGTGCTCAATAAATGCTTCTTACAACTGTCTTGTGCTGAAAGATAAGGTATCTTTCAGAGCCCAGAAACGCGAGACTGGTATACAGAGCTGGTTAGAAGCTCCCCACCCAGTTGGTCCAATGCCCCTAGATTGAGATCCCTCAGATCACTGTTGGAGAAACCCAGCTAATGCCAACTGGATTTCCCACCTCCTGGCAGACACATAGCGGGCATCCCTTTTGCCAGGTGGATAGCATTTGGAGCCACTCCCAGCCTCTGCAGCCCATCATGAGAGCTCACAGCCTAGTTCCTAGGTCTCACATTGGGAGACAGGCAGCGAAAACTGACGAGTCACCCCAGACAGTGGCTCCTGTGGTTGCCCATGTTCTTTCTGCCAGTAAGGATTCTTTTCTCCCTAAGAACGTTTCCCATGGACCACGCCAGGTGGTTGCGTTTGTTGGTGGCTGGCTGCAGGTCAGCAGGCATGATCAGGCCCTCTGAGTGTGCTTAGGCCAGTCAGTCCCTTTCCCTCTCAATTTTATTATTTATTTTTTTGAGATACAGTCTTACTGTCACCTAGGCTAGAGTGCCATGGCATCAGCCTACCTCACAGCAACCTCAAATTCCTGTATTCAAGTGATCTTCCTGCCTCAGCCTGTCAAACAGCTAGGACTAAAGGTGCTAAACCAAGCCTGGCTAATTTCTTCTATTTTTAGTAGAGACGGGGTCTTGCTATTGTTTGGGCTGGTCTCGAACTCCTGAGTTCAAGTGATCTCCAGCTTCAGCCTCCCAGAGTGCTGAAATTACAGGGGTGAGCCACTGAGCCTGCCTGAGAGCTCCATTTTCATTCCCATTCCTCAGCAAGAGCTCTTTGTAAGGGACCTAGCCTGGTGGCCTGCCCCTCAGGTGTCCCCTTCCCCACCCCTTCCTGACTCCCAGCTGATTTTGGACAGGTTCCTTGGCTGTCACTTAGCACCACTGTCTGCCACTAAGGGGCAGAGAGCTGGGTTTGAGGCCAGGTCATGTGCCTCTGGAGTCTAGCGCATGTTTTTGGTTTTCAAATTCTAACTTTTCTATTATTACAAAAGCATTTTATATATACTGCGGAAAGAAGACACAGATAAGCAAAAAGAAGAAAAAGTACTTTTTTATATACCACACAGATGATACCTATAAATAGGTATAATCCACCTTGGCTGGACACAGTGGCTCACGCCTATAATCCTAGCACTTTGGGAGGCTGAGGCAGGTGGATCACCTAAGCTCACAAGTGAGAGACCAGCCTGAACAAGACCGAGACCCCATCTCTAAAAAATAGCTGGTCATTGTAGTGGATGCCTGTAGTCCAGCTACTTTGGAGGCTGAGGCAAGAGGATCGCTTGAGCCCAAGAGTGTGAGGTTGCTGTGAACTATGATGTCACAGCACTCTACTAAGGGTAGACTAAAGTGTCTACTAAAGTGACACTCTGTATCCAAAAAAAAAAAAGCTTTCCCTCTGTGTGTATTTGTGTGCGTTTGTGTATGTGTATTGTTTGTGCTCTTTAGTAAAATGAGATCATACCATTCATGCTATTTTGTTACCTGCTTTTTTTTAACATTCACCTTTCTGTGTCAATATGTTTTGTTTTGTTTTGTGCCTCTACCTAAGATGAAATCTGTGTCAATATATTTTATTCTCTAATGCACAGGCTGTAGTCACATTTTCCCCTGCTGTCCCCACAATGCCCAGAACCCTGTTCAATATGCACATCTGGCTGATACAGCCCTGAATTTTCTTTTAATGTAACACAGATGCACGCACATTCACACTTTTTTTCACCAGTATATGTCTTGCTTAAGAGACCCCACGGGACATCCTTCAGGATGTCCTGGCTCCTATGCTGGCCATTCAGCATCCCTGTGGCAATGGGAGCTAACACTTTGCAGAGTACCTACTGTGAGCCCGGCATGGTGCTGAGTGCTCTGTGTGCCTGTTCCTCTCTGTTTTGCTGGTGAATAAACCGAGTCCCAGGGAAGGGAAGTGACTTGCCCAGGATGGTGAGGTGAGCAAGCGGCAAAGCTGGATTTGAATGCAGGTCTGCGTGACCTCAGAGCCCTGCTTCCAGCTTCTCTTCTGGGCTGTTAGCTCAGAGAGATGCACAGTGACCTCTCAAAGGCCCCTTTCCCCTTCCTTGTCTGATTGACGGAATTGAGTTACCACATCGCCTAGCTCACCTCTCACCTCCTGGCTCTTCATTGCTGCTCCCTCCCTCGTTGGACCACTCTGCCTGTACAGCAAAGGGGCATATTGGCCGTGCACAATGTGTCCTCACCGCACAGAACTGAGCCTGGAGCCGTCACCTCTCCATGGGCAAGAAGCTGGGCACAGGGTTTGAAAGAGCCTCACACCCTGTGTCTCCTCAAAACTGAAACGGATAAGGGGAAGGGTCACTAATGTCAACCCAGCAGCTGTTTCAGATGTTTGTAATTACAATCCCAAGTGTCAAAGAAAGGAGAACCCTGGGAGATCACCCAGTCCAATGCCTCATATATTGTTGATGGGGAAACTGAGGCCCAGAGAGGGCAAGAGACCTGCATATGGTCACACAGTGAGTGGACTCCTCCTTGTTTTTGCCTTTTGGTTTTCTCCACACAGTGCAGGCATCACAGGAGGAGCACATGGTGTCCAGACTCATCTCAGGACCTAGAGCAGGGATTCCCTGCTGCCCTCTCTCTCTGGTACATCCTTTGAATATAACGTGCAGGCAGCGTGCTAAACCCTCAGGCACCATCACATTTCATTCCCACAACAGCCTGGGGGTGCAGGTACAATAGAATAATAGTGCCTTGTCTAAAATCCTGCTGCCAGGTGTGAATTGGAATCGAGACTTGCAGAATTTAGGGATAGAGCCTTGTGTGTCATCCTTAGTGGCTCCTGGGACAGCCTCATCTTGACTCTACAGCAAAATGTATGAATGAAGAGCCTCACTAAGTGGAGTAAAAACCACAAATAATGTGTGTCAGCCCATGGGTTTGCTGCCAAATGAATATGGCTCCAAGCTTCTGGGTTTCAGAGCATCTTGGATTGTGAGTCTCAATTATTCTCCCATTTTGTAGAGAAATAAACACTCTCAGATACGTTCAGTGACTTGCCCAAGGGGGTCTGAACCCTATCAGTCTGGCTGGACACAACCTCCTTCGATGCAGGGCCTGCCCGGGGCCCATCTTTGTCACTTGGAGTAAGAAGGCTCTGTGCTGTCCAGTGGGATCTGAGACGCTGTTCTGCTTGAGGCAGGGGAGGAGCCCTGAGTCCTGGGTACACTGACTCAAGCTATTAGGTCAATTCAAAGTCTTTTTTACTTCTTCCCACTATAAACCTGATAATGTGACAAATGAGGCTGTAGAAAAATGGCCCAGTGATGAGCCTACACCACCAGCTGCTGGGTTTCCCTGGGGCTTTGCGTCCTCCTGCAAACTGAGGGCAGGAACGGGGCCATAGTCTGGGGCACCCTCTCCTTTTAAGCTCTCCCACCAAGCCTCAGGAGGGGGAGGGGAGGCCCAAGTGCATCACTTCTCACTACACTCTGAGCTTATAGGGGGGACACTTAATGACACACAGGAGGTAAGAGACAAGATGGCACTTGGGCCTCTTTGACAGGCAGCTCTGCCAAACTCAGCTCACTCCCCTGGCTCAGAGATTAACAGGGTCTGTTATACAATGTTTCAAATCTGATAAGGAAAACATCCATTTTGAGGCATTTGCATAATGCCTTGGCTGAGGCTGAGGTGCCCCTGCCTGCTGAATACTGAAGGGATGGAAGGGCTGTCCTAGGATGCCCCTGGGGCCTCTGGGGTGTCCTCCCTGTCCAGAGAAAGGAGCTGCCGGCCCCACCACTGCTAAGCGCTGCAGGCAGAGTCTGGGCCCTTGGTTGTAAGCACTATTCACTCAGCTCATATGAAATGCACACCTACTATATGCCAGGAGCTTGGCTCGGCCCCAGGCAAGGAAGATGATCAGCTAGAGCTGCTCCTGCCCCTAGTTCCAGATGTTCTCACATCCATGCCCTCCA